CTCTTACTCTTATTTTTACGTTGGTGGTGGTTTTGCATGGCAGTGTGTCTCAATTCCTGAATTTTGTCATTGCTTGCATATCATACATTTCATTTGTAGATTGTTATTCATCTAAGTCATTCATCAATCAGTTGGCTGCTATCTTGGCAAAATGTGTGTAACAGTCCTGAATAGTGATATTAGAGGTTAACTCTGTCAAAAGTGCATTACATTATGTCATACAGTAGCCAATTGATTTCAGTTTAAATTTTTTTTGATGGAGCAGATTTTTAACTCCTTTATGTGTTTTCAGGGTCTAATCTCAGCACCGCCGCAGCTCAGACGGCCTCCAGTCAGACACAGCCGCCACTCACCTCAGCCACACCCTCACCATCTGCTCAGCCTATTACACGGCTCGCTCAGATCCAGACCAACAACAGCAACAACAAGAGAGGCACGTTCACCGATGATCTTCACAAACTGGTAGACGACTGGACGAAGGAGACTGTCGCGGCAGCCAATCAGCCACGACCCTCCCTGAACCAAATCAAACAACAGAGACGCCAACGAGATCTGGAATGCAAATCTTACCCCCCCACAGGAGCAGCTGGACATGAGGTATCCGAAATGGAGACGTGTACTCAGTGATAGATGATTGCAGATCGTTGGAGTTTGACGTATTACATTTGATGTAATTAAGAGGTGCTCTATGCACTGTTATGTGAAAGAATTCCCTTCTGTTCCAGATGAAATGCCATGTTGGTACCAGCAAGTTCCAGTTGCCTCTTTCCTGCCCCCTGACTGCTGCTTTAGGTCCTGGTATGCCTACAAGTCTAGCTCCCAACTCTGCAACCATGCTCCCTCCTGGGTACCTCCTACCCACAGGCTCCTATGGTGGGATGGTTCCCGGTCCTCTTTACTCTCAGCAGTGGCCCGGTGTGCCTAGTCCTGTAGGGTCAGTGGGTCCTGTAGGTCTCCTCGGTGCTGCAAGAATGATGCCCTATAACACGATGGCAAACACAGGGATCCAAACCTTCCCTCTTATCACGCACAACCCTGAAAACGGCCCCTGTCCAAAAACCACTAGGACTACCTAATCTATGAACTACAACTTGTCAGTGTGTGTGTGCGGGATAGTCCACCTCTGTTCTCTTCTGCTTCCCCAGAGCCACAATTGTACATAATTTGAATTTGTAAATAATATGACGGAGTGTTAATGTTCTTTATACAACAAATACTGCCAATCAGCCACAACATTGATACCACTTGCTTAATATCATGCATGTCCCCCTCGTGCCATCAAAACAACAACAACCCGTCGAGACATGGGCTCCATACAACCTCTGAAGGTATCCCTGTGGCATCAGACACCAAGACATTAACATCAGATCCTTTGACAGATGCATCGGATTGACATCTGGGTTATTTGAAAGTCAAGACAACTATTTGAACCCTGTCAGAAGCCAATGCAATAAGGGAGCATCACCATGAAGGGTGAGCTTGGTCTGCCAAAATGTTAAGGCGGGTGGTACTTGTCAGAGTAACACCCACACAAACCCATGGTTTCCCAGCAGAACATTGACCCAGAGCATCAACTCACATTTCCCTAAAAGATGCAAATGCACCGTCTACATGAAGAAAACATGAGATCAGACCAGGCCTCCCTCACCATTACTCTATGTTCCGGTTCTGATGGCTTTTTCATTGATGGACAGGGTCACCACTCTGACCGTTCTGTGGCCACATACACATTTATTACGACAGCTTTCCAGTATAGCTGTTGTTTGCAGCAATTTGTGCAACAGTTTTTCTTCTGTGAGCTTTGATCACACAAGCCTGCCCTCGCTTCACACATGCATCAGTAAGTCTTGGGTGCCCATGACAACTAACCACTGCATACTAGGATCACCCTAAGAAGACCGTCTGCTTTTCACAATCTGGCCCTCGTCAGAGTTGCTCAATTTGGGTTGTTTGCTTTCAACACATCACTTTCAAGAACTGACTGTTCACCTGCTGCCTAACGTGTCCCACCTGGTGTGGAAACCATAAAACCTTTTCTTCACCTGTCAGAGGTTTTATTGTTGTGGCTCATTGGTGTATATATGGACTTAAAGTGTGTGTGTGCGCGTGCATGTGTAAATAAGTGTGAATAATATACAGTACTCGTCAAGTGTGTCTGAATACCTAATGCTTTTTGGCTTTGGTCTTTACTGAACTAAGCCATACAACACATTTTGTCTTTGGTCAAGAAAACCTATTTCACTCTTTTCTTTGTTACTGCAGTTTTCACGTTGATTTTTGCCTTTCTCTGTGTTATGTACAATTTAAACACTACATTGGAATCCAAAAAAACCCAGTGGAGTGAGAAATGGTAACAAGACAGTATTTACAGTGAAAATATTTGAAGGAATGTAGTGCCTTGAACATTGATTTTTATTTTTATTTTCGTCTTAGAAACAAAGCATGTCTGCATCCAGGTTATTTTAATTGATGGTAGCTTGAGTGCAGTTTCTTATTTTTAATGCATTACAGACACTTTTGTTTTTGGTTTACATATTAATGCCCTTGTAGAACTGCACTATTAACACAGTATATGCTCTTACATAAGTAATAAAGTCATGTTTTAACTTTTGTTTACTTTCCACCCCTGTGACCGATGGAATGCCATAGTGGGGAGACGTACCGTTGCCTTGCAGAAACAAATGGTTGAAGATGAGAGGATAAAAAATAATTACACAAGAAGCCAAAATCCACTCTTTCAGGTCAAATGGTTCAGTTGGACATGGCCTGTTTTTTTCTTTCTTTTTTGGAAAAGACAGTGTTGTAGCCTTGTGCTCAAAGGAAAGGCCGTGTCCTGAGCCATTTATACTAGACATAGTTCTTTCTACAGTATATAGCCTCTGGTAGTGTTCTGATCAGAATGTAGCAGTTAATATGTGATGGCTTGAGGCTTAAAAGTGCAATTTAACCCCTCCACAAAGCTTTGATGGTGGCCTTGCCACAAGCCTTATCTCTGATGTGTGCAACAGGAGCAAGCTGAAAAGTTGAACAAAGACACAATACAAGCGCGAGACAGATATTACCAGGCAAAATATAAATACTAGAAATCACCCAGCAAACTCTGAATTCACTACTGCTAAATGTCCTTTCAGCTTGGCTGTCCTACTACTCAGCATACACTGTATGTAAAATGTTCTGTGCAATCACCAGTCAAGTCTGATGGTTTTAATTTATTTGATGTTTAAAGCTTGATTATTATTTTTTTGGATGGCTGCTATAGTCCGAGGTGATTCCTCTGTAAAGATTAGCATTCGATTCACACATGGTACTTAAAAATACAAGACTTCTAAAGTTTAATTTACAAAGAGAAATGCTCACAATGCAGTGTTATTATTGCCTTGTTGAAATCTTGGTAATGTGTTGATTTCCCAGGTTGCTTTTGATGACAGCCTTTTATTTTTTTGTCAGTTATATATTGCAAAATTCAAATACTTGATGTGGGAGATTTGCACAACAGATAGTCTCCCTTAATTCTAACATATGTTAAAGTGTTTCCTATTCTGTATATTGTGGGTTTCACCGCCTGTACTTTTTTAAATCACTGACAAGTGGCATGGCATGGCCAACTTTTCATGTTCCACAAAGCAAAGCTAAACAATACAGTTGCTATGGTGAAAAACTTCACATCTCCACGACACATTTTAAAGGTTTCAGCACCCCAATCCTTCCAAGCTGTGAACTGTACAGTTTTCTTGTAGTTTATATTTGTACATTTTGTTTGTTTGACTGTTCGAGGGTGGTGGTGGTGGTGGTGATTAGAGGGAATGCTTTGATGTATATTATTCCATCAATTCGGTTTGAATTGGACTTTTATAGGATATTATGCAGAGTCTTCTGCTTTGGTGAAATACTTCCAGTAGTAAGAGATTTCTGTTCTCTGTCACTTGTATCTGGTAAATATATTTTGTTCCACCTCCCCCTGGCTGCGAACTTGTTAGCAGAGGAGGGAATAACTATTGTTGCCATATTCATTTTGGGTGCAGGAACAGAAGACGAGTGGAGAATCACACTTTGACACTTCCCACTCCGCTTGTCTCACTTGTCTCTGGACAGCATTGCCCCCTGGTGAATACGCTCTGATTGTCAAAGGCTTGTATTTAAACAGTGTGGGATTGCTTCTGCCTGCTGTATGACCCACTGCATTACCCCCACCCTGCCCTGCTGCACTCTAATCACAGACTGTATGTTGAGAGAGAAATAAATATTATTTTGTGCTTGATGCCACGTGTCATTGTTTTTATTTCCAGACCGGAATTCTTGAGGCCAAATCAAAGACAAAGCACATGTAGTTAGGAGTTTAAAAATATGATGAATGCAGTAATTAAATGTATAATCTAGAATGGTTATATTTTTTACTTCAAATGAGGAAAATGCTGTTTTTTTTCTCACCTTTTCTCCATTTATTGAATCATTTGAAATTGAAAATCTGTGAAAAATAACAAATACAATTAAAAAATAATATATTCATATACTAATAAAATATTTAAGGATTTTCAAATGGCCACTGCTCTTGTTGTTGAACTATTCTTTAACTCATGCAATGTGTAAATATAATATCTGATTTATATTTTTAATTATTGTAGGTAAAAGCAAGTGTTTATAGATTTGATGTGAAAATGATGCACTCAGAAACAAAGCCGCAGATTCGCGGCATTCGGCAACAACAAAAAAACATTTAGATAAACATTGGTAATGCAGGAATGTAAAAAAAAAAATCACTCAATGAATGTGAAGAAGGGAAAATAATTTATTTTGTCTTTAAACTCGGGTTTAAATGCGCTAATGTGCCGAGAAATAGATCCCGCTTGGTGTGGCGAATGTGTCTCCCCGCGCCCACGGCGCAGCGTCACAGCAATGGTTGCCCCTTTTGTTCACCCGAGTTTCTGAATAATTCTCAACACAATGACACGATCTGGATTTTATATTGTTTGGTGAAAGCTGTTTTCACTGTACCCACGCGTCCTGCGAGCTGGGCCCCGGGATTATCTCATGAATTAAAGACGAATCTGCGACCCCCTTTTTCCGCCCGGGTGTGAGGAGGTTTTCCGCAGCGCGCAGTCCGGAGGAACGTGGAGTAGTAAGTGTTTATAACGTGGATCTGTGGCGTTTCACTGGGGGAGGCTTGTTTTGTGGCACGTTTGCTCTCATCTTTTCCAACTGTAACATCGCAGTACATGTAGTTTAGCCATTTTGATTCCAGCAAAAACATAAAAGACACAAGAGGGAACCCCCGATACAAAAGAACCCTGGTTGTTTTCCTTACATCTTATACTTCAGAGAGGAGGAGAACCATTGCATGATCATCATGATCATCATCATGATGTGTGATATAAACATACATGATGAGCCTGATCACACATGTTGTAGTTTAGTAGATGCATGTAACGCTGCAGCTCAGTGTCTGGTCCTCACAGGATGAGGTCATTGTGGAGGGAAACACTGGAGACCTGGGATCTGCTCTAACTTCTAATCTGTTTACAATGTGAGAGACTTTCATCACTATTTTATTCCTCAGTTTGTTAAACGGGACCAAAATGTTCTTTAACATCAAAACGACGCCTTCCTGTGCGGCTGACGTCTGATCCGTGAACACACAGCTACACATTAGCACGTTGAATTAAACTCACCGAGCTGAATGAAAGCAGCATCGATTAAAGTGGAGGGGGGGAAGCTGCCGGACATTAGCCGAAGCTAACGCGAAACGTGAACTCGTGAGTGGTGGTTGTGTTTTTCTCTGTTTGTGCTACACGCGGAATGCGAATTGTTGTTGTTTGCTAGCCGCTGCTAGCTCGTTGGCTAGCAGCGGCGCCAGGTTCATTGTTTGAGGAAGCAGCAGCAGCAGCTAGATGCTACGGCTAACGTTAGCTGCACTAGAATACACTGAAGTCCTGTTGTTAGCTTTCGGTGTTTTTCAAGGTAATGACGACTACAGCCTCCTTTCACCTGATTGTTCCCTTCTGTCTCAGTCTATGATCTTCACACAAACTAGAGTCAATGTGCTTTCATGTTTGATCCACGGCGCGATAACGGGACATAACTGAGCACGATCCACCAGAAACACACACACTGACACGAAGTGCACCTGTGATCCCAGTGACAGACACATTACAACTTGTTTGCATCTGTGAATGGAGGGTCGTGGTCACGTGACTGTGCCATAACAGGTGAACCAAGTGGACTGGACTGAGGGGACTGACAGCTACAGTGACAGCAGCTGCTCTCTTACATGTGATCCTTTGTGTTGTCTTTATTCCAGATGTAATCTCGAGCAGCATCTGTCCCAGCGGTGGCTGTTGGCACAATGGGGCTGGACTTTGACGTAAAGACGTTCTGTCACAATCTGCGGGCCACCAAGCCCCCTTACGAGTGCCCGGTGGAGACTTGCCGAAAAGTGTACAAGAGCTACAGTGGCATCGAGTATCACTTGTATCACTATGACCACGACAACCCAACTCCTGCACAGGCTGTACCACAGAAGAAGAGAAAGGGACGGCCTCCTCGCGTGTCTCTGCCCGGCTCAGGAGATACAGATGACGGTGGAGGTAACGGAGGTGGAGGGCCGGGGGGGAACACCCCTGGTAGTCCCAACCGGTCAGATTGCTCTCACTCCCCGGGCAGAGAGACAATGACCTATGCCCAGGCACAGCGCATGGTGGAGCTGGACATTCAAGGACGCATTCACCGCATCAGCATCTTTGAGAACATTGATGTGGTTTCAGAGGAGGACAGCGATGCAGAGGATGCTCCGACGTCTGGTACTGGTGGTAGCGGTGGGGGCGTGTGTAACGGTAGTGACGGTGGGAACGGAGGTAGCGAGGTAGGAGGGAGTGGCAAGGACAGGACAGATATACCTTCTTCTAATGGGGGCAAAGCCACCCCGAAGTCTGGGAAGCATAAAAGTAAAGAAAAGAAGAAGGACGGGTCATCTCATCATCACAGCGCTCAGTCTGGGCCTGCGATCAAGCTGCCCGAGGCCGTGTTCAGAGAGCTGGACCAAGAGAGACCTGATGCTCCTCCTCGGCCGTCATCTTACTACAGGTTTGTGTTGAGAATTGTTGTCTGATTAATTGATAATTATATAGAACGTATATAACAATTAGGGGCATGACTATTGTTGAGTGCGTTACAGGCATTTTAAAGGCAAGTTGCAACAGGGTGCATGTATAGAGGAGGTATTATATACAATTGATTATGAAATATGTAAAGCCAACAATTACACAGTCGCCACTTAGTTTGCAATTATGGAGCTTATTCTTGCGCAGGTAACAAGAATTAAATTTGACCTTATATTCCTTCCACTCTGCAGAAAGGTGAGGTAGGCGCTGATCATACACTCCCAATTGATTACACACTTTGCACGCAATACGTGCGTTTTCTCTTGTTGGGTGTTCAGGTACATTGATAAGTCTGTGGAGGAGCTAGACGAGGAGGTGGAGTACGACATCGACGAGGAGGATTACATCTGGCTTGATATCATGAACGACAAGCGGCGGCGAGACGGTGTGACACCCATCCCTCAGGAGGTGTTTGAGTACCTCATGGACCGCTTGGAGAAGGAGTCATACTTTGAGAGCCACAACAAGGTTCCTCCACTTGTGTACTGAGATGATGTTTTAGCACTGAAACGTGTACAGAAAGGCTGATCTCTCCTCGTGCTCCTCTCTCTCCCAGGCCGACCCCAGTACCCTGATCGATGAAGACGCTGTCTGCTGCATCTGTAACGACGGGGAGTGTCAGAACAGCAATGTTATCCTGTTCTGCGACATGTGTAACCTAGCCGTCCACCAAGAGTGCTACGGTGTGCCATACATCCCAGAGGGCCAGTGGTTGTGTCGTCGCTGCCTGCAGTCTCCAAGTCGAGCTGTGGACTGCGCCCTCTGTCCCAACAAGGGAGGAGCCTTCAAACAGACAGACGATGCCCGTTGGGCTCACGTAGTTTGCGCCCTCTGGATCCCGGAGGTAAATCCATACACCACCACATGCATGTTTGATGAGAATTACATAATCTTGCAGATATCGAGGCAGTGTTCATCTAATTTTAGTTTTTAGATTTCCCAAAGTGGATGCCAGAATATTTATCTTACTGATTATTCCACATTCCACATGCACTGATGTTTGCTGAGCTCCTTTGGTCACACAAGTGCAAGTTAAATGGCAGTAGATGTCTAATTAAAAGATCACAACTGAACTGATATATAGCCAACTGAATTTCATTTGCACAGTTTAGCATCACTCAGTCTTCTTTTCATCTTCATACTAACCTAACCCTTTGATTAGCATATTGTAATCAAGTGGATTTTGCCCTCAGGTCTGCTTCGCTAACACCGTCTTTCTGGAACCGATTGATAGCATCGAGCACATCCCTCCTGCACGCTGGAAACTCACCTGCTACATCTGCAAGCAACGTGGCTCAGGCGCCTGCATCCAGTGTCACAAAGCCAACTGTTACACAGCCTTCCACGTCACCTGTGCCCAGCAGGCAGGCCTCTACATGAAAATGGAACCTGTTAGAGAGACTGGGGCCAATGGCACCTCTTTCAGTGTCCGCAAAACGGCTTATTGTGACATTCACACGCCGCCGGGGTCGGCCAGACCTTTGGCGGGAGTGGGTGGGGCCAGCATTGGTTCGTCGCACAGCGAGGGAGAGCTGGAAGAGGATGACGAGCCCAGCATCGGCCACGACGACGACTCCAAGGGCTGGAGCTCCGAGCGAGCCAAGAGAGCAAAGGCGAAATCCAGGCTGAAGATGAAGAGAGCGAGGAAGATCTTAGCTGAGAGGAGAGCTGCTGCTCCAGTGGTGTCCGTGCCCTGTATACCCCCCCACAGGTGGGACACACACTATATGTTGCACATGGACTATACTGTATGTTCTCCACAGCACCGAGACGCCTTTTACCTTTTTATATGAGACTGCTTGTGGAACAGCAGATTCACCAGAATAGGATAGAATTAGGATGTTTTTTCATCTATCTAATAATTCAAGAAACCTCAGTCTGTGTGAAAGGTGGCTTACATATCTAGAAAACTTTTTATTTTATCAGCTTCACGCTTGTTGTGTGTTGTTGTGGATCCAGGGAAATGCTTGATTTGGATAATGTTCAATGTTCTGCATACTGAGTAGAGCTTCACTGAACTTTGAATAAACAGGTGAACAGCTCTTAATACAGAAGCGGTGGTGCAGCTTCAGTTTTCTGAGGACTGAATCCTGCTGCTGGTCTC